CCAAACAGGACTCTGCTCCACCCCACAATGATTTGATGAAAACTCAACAGCTTTCTTTCTCACAAATTCATGTTGCAATTCAATTTGCTGACTTTGGTTTAAACATTTTTGTGCACTAATATTAGCTGAATCTTTTATTTTGAAGAGTCTAAAAAGACAATGTATTTTATATTGAATTGTCTGCAGGGTGCGAACTACGGGGGAGCTAGGGGGAGCTCGGCTCCCCTTAATAAGACATGGGCTCCCCTGAAATACACTTGTAGCTGTTATGTATCTTTGTAAGTCATTGTAAGCCCTCCTGAGGCACGCGCAAGCGCACAAACCCCCCAGTAAAAACAAAACAAAACAAGAGGGCTCCCCCAAAGTCCACGGTATAGTTCGAACACTGCTTGTCTGCTATGAAAGTACACATTTATATAGCATGGCTGGCATTCCAGTTTGCTTTTTTAAAAGATGACGTCATAGCTCCATTAAAATAAGCACAGAAAGCATGTTGATACACTTTAATGCATATAAATATTAAAGCGTCTATTATTTATGTATTACTGCTGTGTTTCATGTAAGTCATGATCATATATATTCAAGCAAATTCGTAATCAGCAGAAAACCCAGCGCACATGGCACAAAGTAAAAAGGAAGCTTAATAACACATGTATTTCCTTTTCCCCCATATTTGCGTGATAGTAAAAAAAAAAACAAAAAAAAAACAAATTGGCTATATACTTTATTATTTTAAACTTTCTCCTATACATTTTTTTATTTGGAAAAGTTTTCATTGTACTCTGTACAATACATAAGTTCACTTAGCTGACATTAAATGGTTTAATGTTATTTTCAAACATGCTCATTTTAAATATTGCTTTTAGCATTTCTTTAGTTTTATTTGCAAGAAATTTAAAATAAAGAAACTGATTGGGAAATTTTTATTTTATTTTGATCTTCTCCATTAGTTTGTACTTAGTAGTGATTTAGCAATGTTTTACTCTCACTGTCTCACACACTCAGGTAAAGTCACCACTCCATCATTACACTGTGGTCTTAGGGGAACACCTCCTGAAACTTTGCCCCTCTGACACATAAAGCTGATGTGATCATCATGGGGTATGAACATCTTTTGCCGATTAACATAGGCCAACTCTATACCTCTTCTATCCATTTCCTCCACCGTCACTGTACAGGGCTCTGAAATAAACCCAGCATGTCACTATCAGTGTCACAATATACATTCATTAACTAATCATCACAACCTACAACTTAAACTACAAGATTACATCATGATGTGTTTATATGATATATATGGTGAAGCGTGTTCATACTTACTTAAACACCTAATCTTCCCTCTCCATTCTCCTTGCTCACAGGTCAAGTATTTGGAGAAAGATGGACGCAGATCCAAAGTGTATTTATTAAAGCAGCTGTATTCAACTCTCTCCCCTGTATTGTATTCATCTTTTTTCAATTCTATTGTATCTGCATCGTTTACGTCTGGTGGTGGTCCACATTTCCCTGAGACAGTCATCACCAAAAAAAATGTGGCATTAGTAAATCTTAATTTTAGATAGATTGTTTTTTTTTGCTGTTAAACCACAGAACATGCTATTAATGAGTGGTGTTTATCCATGCAAAACCTGCTGCAGAATTAGACCAAGTCAAGAGAAACTTGCGTGCGCATTTATGTGCCAATTGGCGCACATATTATAATATGAGCAAAAGTGATGCTTGTGTTGCATTGTCTTTCCAGAATTTCATTGTATGGCTCAATGCACTTGTTTCTCAGAATTTATTTTGTTGTTGTACAAATCTGTCTCATTCAACAGCATCAATACATTCTCATTTGATTTGTGACATTCTGATAATAGAACAAGTAAGTGCAAAATGTAAAAATGTAGAATTTGTGCCATATATTTTATAATGAATTGACTATGTAAAATTTCCTAAGCAAATATATGTGGATAGAGACTGAGTGAGTCAGATTCATTCTTTTAAATTTAGCTTGCTAATATCTTTGGATAAATTCAGGTTTGTTCATCATACTTGGCAGCTGTTAAATAAAGTAGCATCATCTCTATTTTTGCAAAAATTTTAACATTTAATAGCAGAACATACCAGCACACAGTGGTTTTGGTGTCCATCCGTCTTGTGTGCATGTGGCCTCTTCTGCCATTTCACGATATCCAGACTCACAACGGTACGATTTTATTGCTCCTAATTTCTTATCTCCACTGAAGTAATAGTATATATATATTTATTAATGATTTATTATTATTATTATTAGGGCTTCATGTTAATGTTAATTTAATGTTTATGCTAAAAAAAGGGCATATAGCAGCTAATTGTGTTTGTTGTTTGTTGATTTTCAAATATAAAACTTATTGAAATGGTTTCAGTGTGTGTATCAGTTCTTTTTGAACATTTTCATCTAATTTGAACAAAACCGTGATAATATTGATAATCGTGATAACTTTGGTCACTATAATCGTGATATGAAATTTTCATACCATTACATCCCTAGTCTATACACATGCTGGTCATATGGAGTTTCACATGTAACCTCTGAAACAAGATTCACATGCTTTTAATAACATGCAATAAATTCATCACAAATCCAGAAATGTTTCTCTATAATCTTACCTGCACAAACAGGCTCATAATCCCACTCTCCATTATCTTTGCATGTAAATGATCTGCTGGTTTCTTTTGTACCAAAGAACCAGTATTTTTCAGAGCAGGTGCTCTCCACACTTTCTCCAGCTCTGAAAATAGTTGTTCCCGCAGGCTTGATCTTTTTTACTCCAAATGTGGTTGACTTAAGCTCACAGGTTACTGCTGTACAAGACATAATTATGTTGTATTTAAGTGTTAACACAGGCCAATTTTGTATGAAGGTTTTTGTTTTTAAGATGTTTGCACGGTGTTTAGGTAAACACATTTTATTTGAAGTGAACCAATTAAA